GAGCTAGGATCCCACATGCTTTGTGGCCAAAAAGCCAAAACATAAAAAAGAAGCAATATTGTAAAAAAGACTTTAAAAGTGGTCTTCAAAAACATCTTTAAAAAATTACACTGTATATTTTATATCTTTTTTTACTACCATTACAAGCATTTCTTTTTTAATTATCATATAATTAATAACCAAATAGAATTTTTTCCAGAGATAAACCACCATTGGACGGTGAGTTGAGGCTGATCTGAATGTCTTCTAGGGCTGAGATGATGTCATTGATCACTACAGCTGAAGTCAAGAACACATTTCCTACCACCTTATTTAATTGGATGATTCCCCTTACAGGGAAAACTGTCCACAAGGAGCATATATAATGAAGCAGTTATCCTACACCAAGTAACCAAAGGTAGACTCATTTTGGAAAAAGGGCTGCAATTGTCTGAGGAATAAATGACCTGCTGGTGGTGCTTCTTTATACACTTGCAGCTCTCCTATGGCCACCCAAAAAGTGGTCAAAGGTACAAGTGCTTTTGAGAGAGAGGCAGGTTAATGCCTGAATTCCACATAAGGAGTACAGCCCCAAAGGTACCCCTGGTGTCTCCGGAAAAACAGTTTTGTTTACAGCTGTTGCCCACCCAGGTGGGACCTGCGTCAGTTGGAGATGACAGGTTTAAGTGATTCCAGCTCAAGGTTCTCAGTTCAGTTTGAATATCTGAGTCTAGTCCTTGTCTTTGGAGGGACTGTCTGAGGGCAGTCAGTCCCGTTCTAGTTGTCCATACCACTGGCCAAGTGGCTTTTTTATATCCCATCTAGGGCTTGTAATCTCTCTTGTATAAATGAAGTAAATGAAGTCAGAGTTAAATGGTTCAGGGGCGGCATCTATGCTCCGATAAGAGAACCAGGTTTCGTCCATGTTGTTGCTCTGCCCTTTGTGGCCATAAACACATCTCAAGATGGTAGTGTCCCTGTGCCAGGCAGAAGAGAGGAAGAGATGAAGAGGAAAAATGACATACTGATCATGTCCTATAAGGAGGGCTCCTGGAAGCTGCCATATATTTGCGTTCACAATCTTTTGGCCAGAAGTGAGTCACATGGCTATACTTGAATATGAGGGAAACGAGGAATTGTAGTTTTTATTCAGAGTACCAAGTTAAGCATTGTATTATCATGGCAATAGGGGAGAATGATAAGTAGCAGTTTCTAATGTGAAAAGAGTTGTGCTTAAAATTACAAACCAGTTAGCAGCTGCAGCATTGCTAAGGATATAACTACTACAGCAGAACTAGATCTGTTCAAATAAATTCCTATTTGAATAACCATTTGTTATTTCAAATAGAAATAAAGCTAGCTTCCAAATCACATGGGTGTCATTGACTTTAATAAATATTCAAAATTTATATTTAGGCTATGATCTGATTCCATTATTTTTTGTGTGGTTTAAATTGGTATCTTCATTGCCTTATGAGCTTTCCATAAAACACGAACATTATGTTTTGTTTTTACCCTTACTTTGTTAACCAATAACTAGTCCACTTCTAAAACAAGGAGATATCAAAGGTCATCTGTCCATTCACCTTCCTCTCTCTGCTGTTACCTTATTAAGTTTCTATTGATATAACCGCTTTTGAAATGGTTCTTAGGAACTGGAAAGGAGGGGGTAAGGATAGATTAGGCATAGAATAATCAGAAGTAATGAGACTTACAACACGGTACTTTGGTTGATACTTGTTTTTCCCTTTTCCTTTTTTAAAAAAAGAAAATGCTGATTGTTATGTCTACATGTATGGAAAATACTAACACAGGTAGAGACATTTATTCTCAACAGGCTTTTTTTTTTCCTCAGCTTGGGTTTATTTTTCCTGTGCTTCTACCAATGATTTAACTATTTGAGAATGTTCATTTTTTCAGTGAGAGATTTGCAGTATTAACATTTGGAAGGGCTTCAGATAAACTGAGGAGGAGAACTGGTTTGAGCTTTTGGACCCTGACAGGTTTACCTCTACTCCTTACAGCATAGATTCTCTGATGTCCATCATAAAATCCACCTCACTCATGAAACTTTGATAATTAATTTTCTTCCTAGCTGCAATGTTAAGTTGAAAATCTCAAGTTCACAGGAACAGTAAAGCATTTAGGAAGGTAGGACTACAAAGTAAAACAACATAAACAAAACTCCAGCAAGTCTCTATCATCCTTTTCATTTCCAAAAAATTTTGATTTAAGACTACACATCCAAAGTAGTTGTCTTCTTCATGATTATCACATAGGAAAAATGAGGCTACCCTTGTTCTGATATTTTTGGAACTTCTCTTTCAGATTTCCTTCAGGACCTTTGGATAGTCTTCAACTATCCTTAATAATGGGAAATACACATTCTTTGAGTGTGGGTTTGACTTTGGGAACAATCTAAAATAATTTGGAGACAAATCCAACGATTAAGTCATCTGAAAGCAGTTTTAGTTATTGATTCAACAAATATCTATTGAGCTCCAATGTAAACAAATACCAGAAATAAAAGCATGAAAAGTACACATGCTGCTCTCAAGATTCTTAATGTGTAAGAGGGCCAAAAGCAAGGGATAAGATGGATGATTTTGAGTCTAATATACTTCATTGTCTATTTTTCCTATGTGCCCCAGGGCTCACCGCAGTCTTGCCCTGGATGTGCTCTGGAGTTGCCTTACTGGTCGGACTCCTTTGTACTCACGCTTTTCTTAGGAGACAGGTGGGAAGTGATAACTCATCCATACTTTATTTTGACAAATGGAAATGAGTGAATGGAAGTCAAATGGAAAAAGCTGTTTCAAGTGTCTGGAGTGATTTTGTCATTTCTGTTTTCTTACATCAGTCTCCACCTCTCTTTCAGAAGTTACAGAAGAGGGCTTCCCTGGTGGCGCAGTGGTTGAGGCTCCGCCTGTCGATGCAGGGGACACGGGTTCGTGCCCCATTCCGGGAAGATCCCACATGCAGCAGAATGGCTAGGCCCATGAGCCATGGCCGCTGAGCCTGCGCGTCCGGAGCCTGTGCTCCGCAACGGGAGAGGCCACAACAGTGACAGGCTCGCGTACCGCAAAAAAAAAAAAAATAATAAAATAATAATAAGACGTTACAGCAGAAAGTCTCAGAATAAAAAATAAAACCTCCAAAGAATTCTGGACAAATGCTTAACACAGTTAAGCTCACAATTTCTGCTCTTAAACTTTTATTTTTGTAGGTGCATGTGTTAAAGATTGCAAAAATTAAAGATGAACAAAGGGCTTATTGGAGGAAGGGAGGGAGGGAGTACTAATGTCTTCCTCCTGAACATATTTTTCTCTTATTTGCTTTTGCTTTTGTTTTTCTTGTCATTCTGTGATGGTTAGGATCTCTAAACAATGTTGAATGGAAGTGATAAGCAGAGAGTGCTTCTGTTTCCCCATTAAGAATGATCTTTGTTATAGGTTTTAGTTCCTAGATATCCACCATCCATGAAAATAAGTTCCCTTCTATTCTTGGTTTGCTGGGTTTTTTATTTTGAAAATCCCTGTCCTGATTGGGCCATTCCACCATCTGTGGGCCCTGGGAATCTAAAACTATTGTTTGTTGCTTCTACTGATTGAGAATCTCAGATAGTGTGTTCTTCTGAAGTTTTAGGTAGTTTCCTTGGAGTTCCCACTGATTGAAAAAAAACTCTCCTATATTGTTTTTGGTCAAACATTTTGCCATAATACTAATGGCCTGTGTACACAACAAATACATGTTAGTGGGTGCCTCTGAAATGGTAAAGATGAAAATGGGGCTGCAGAAGGGAACATGAAGGGCTTCAACTGGTTTTGAAATTATTTAAAAATTTTAAAAGTTCTTGAAAAAATCTAAAGTAAATGCCACAGCATGTTAATATTTGTTCATTTTGGAAGACCAATAAATGTGTTTGTTATCCTTTGTAACAAATTTTCAAAGTAAGTTTTCCAAGAAAAAAAAAAAAAAGAAGAAAAAGAAAGAAAGAGAAAGAAAGAAAAAGTTAATTAGCCAAGCTTAGATTAAACAACACATATAGCAAGTAGAATTAGTTACACCATCCTCTGGAATTCTATAGCCCTTTGCTGGTGTGCCATATAATGGATTTCACTGTACTGTAATTCTTTTCTATATATATATTTTCTTTTTATGTATTATATACTCAATAAAAAATAGTAACCGAAAGAAAGCTTGTATAGCAATATTAATATCACAGAATTTACAGTGATATTATTTTTACCTTTCACTGTCCTATCAGCTCTTAAATCTCTCAAGAGCAGAGACAGTATGTTATTCATCCTTGTATTACTGGGATCTGGCTAATGTCTGGATCATGTTATTTTCTGTAAGTATTATAATTCACAAGCACAAGGTTTGGAGTCAGAAGACCAATTAAAGGCCATACGTGTCTTTACTAGTTTTCAGTCATTTTATGCCTTTGTCCTGGAGGCATTTGAGAAATGAGCTTTCTCCTTTGCATGGGGATGTGGCAAGGAGAGCTAGCTAGCCTCTCTAGTCTTCCCTTCTATGAGCACCCAGCTAGACTCTGTTTCCCACCACCCTAGAAATTAGGTGTAGCCATGTGATTAAGTTCTCTCTAATGGAATATAAACATAAATGATGTGTGACATTTCCAGACATGGCCCACAAACACCTTCCCTGAATACTCCTCCCTGCTTTTCCCTTTTCTAGCTGTTTATTTAAGCTTTCAGCCATTGTAGAATTTTACGGTTTCATAGAAACACATGGGAAAGCCATACCCATGAGAAATTATAACCTTTTCATCATTTAATTATTCTATTTGTAAAATTCTTATCCTGGTTTCTGTGCTATTACTTCCCATTTCTTTTGCATTACTTTGAGATGCTGTATATTTTAACTAAAATATAATACTTCCTTCAACGTTTAAAGACATTATATATATACATATACGTATATATATAAAACCATGGAAGACTGAAACGTTAATAATATCTTATATTTTATTAAATAAATGATGATACAGAAATAATAGCCAAAATATTTATTACTGATTCCTTAAATACACTATTTAAAAACTCTTAGCTAAAACATTAAATTTTTGAGCCACTGGAAAAGTGAACTGCCTCACAGAAATACTTAATATTATAAAGGGAATATGCTATTTTAACATTGACTCCATTAAGTTATTACTTTAAAAGGTACAGGGTGCTGTCATTACCCATTAAAATAAAAACACAATGAGATAAACAACACAGGACAGCTACATGCTAATATTCTGAACTAACACTTCAAATGTGGACTGACCACATATTTTATTTAAAGCTTAAATAATAAATGTTTCTTTTGGCTAAGACAGCTTTTATTGTCATTAGGTTCTACTGATTTTTGAGAAATAGAGCTGCTCCACACTGAATCCACTGATCTTGGCTGCCCCCACATGGAATGTCGATATTGATCACCACACGATCCCTTTCAGCACTTGTGTAAACAGGCAAAGATATGCACTCATCAGGGGAATATGGACCATATGCGCCCTGTTTAAAAAGAATTAATTTTGTTTTAAAATACAGCAATATACTGTGTTGCAACAGGTCATTAGATAACCAAATACGAACACAAAATCTTCCCAAATAATAAAATATATTTAACATTTTATTATGAAATGTTTTAAATAAAGACTAGCATAATAAACCACATCATTCAGTTGCAACAATTATCAGCTCATGGCCAACTGTATTTCATTTATAACCTCCCCCAGCCCCAAATAATAGAGTATTTTGAATCAAATCCTACACATTATAAAATTTCATCTATAAGTATTTAAATATATGTCTATAAATAAAATATAAAAACATAATCAAAATACTATATCACATAAAAATATTAACAATAATTCCTAATATCATCTTATACCCACTATGCCATTATCCCATAATTTTTAAAAGATTTTTTTGGAAGAACTGCAATTCAAATAGAGCCCACACTTTGAGGTTTGTTATGTGTCCTAATTCTCCTAAATTTATTTTTTCTCCTTTATTCCTTGTAATTTGTTTGCTAAAGAACTATACCAAAGAGTTTCCCACATTCTTGACTTTTGTTTGCTACATTCCCATGGTGTCATGTTCTTCTGTTCCCTGTATTCTTGTAAAGTGGGTCTGGAGGTGAGTTCAGATTCAGATTCAATTTCCGGTAAAAACACTGCATAGGTAGTAGTGTATACTTCAATCAAGAGGCATATAAAGTCTGGGTGTCTCTCTTTTTAGCTATTAGGAGCCATTGATGATCATTATTTATATTTAAGATTAAAAAATGATAATCTAATTCTACATCCCTTCATTTCCAGGCAGAAACAAATCTATAAAGAGGAACTTCCAGTTATCAATCATTTGATTACCAGGAGGTACAGTTCATATAGGAAAGGCTGGAATAAATGCTATCTAATTTCCCTTTATTTACACGCTTTTAAAATAATGCATTTGTTCCCTAGCATACTGTAAAGGTGATCAATGAGCACCCTCTATTTTTTTAAGTATCATTATGAACTGGTGGATTTAAATATGTTCAATGTGCTTCAATGCAATGCAATTACTATCTTATTGGTGTTCAAAATGTCAATCTTTGTGCAGTGGGAACTCATTAGGCTGGCTCCTGAGGGTTTTTGTTTTTGTTTTGATATGTCCCTAGTAGTCTTCAGTAGCTTTCTTACCTTCTAGTATGTCAAGATGTTGTAAGTTCATCTTGTATATTTGCTGTCCCAGAAATCAAAAATTAGTCATTACTCTGAGGATCCTTGGTTCCTTTAATGAGAAATGGTACTAGAGATCGTAGTCTGGGTGCTAGGAATGATCTATCATTCTCCTTCTAGGATTTTTCAGTGACTGAAGCTTAGAAATATGTATTTTTTTAAAGAAAAACATCAGAAGTTCATAATAGTAATTCCAATTCAAATTTAGGATTCATGTTTTTATTGAATTTATATAATTTTATTCAACTAATGGATAAGTTTTTAGAGTTAGAATGAAACTTAAGAGAAAAGTTAGTCTCATTCTAGAATTTTACAAGTGACAAATCAGAAACCCATGAAGAATTTATCATGGTAACCTAGTTAGGCAAGTGGCAAAGTTGCCTTAGGTAGTACAATTGAAAAAAAAAAAAATTTGGCATTAGCTTGTTTAGGAGCTCCTGACCCTAAAGAGTAGATTACTCTCTGAGCATCTGTTTCCCTATCATAAAAGGAACATAAACAACACTGGTCCACCTAATGGGATGTTGGGTGAATCCAATGATGTATTATTAAGGAGTTCAAATACAAAGCATTATTTATTCACACAAGGACTACACATGCATAACTTTTCTTTAATTCCTACTAATTCTTAAATCAATTAGAAAAAAAGTCCCAGCTTTTTACCATCTACTACAGGTCATGGATGGTGCTAGGATAGAGAGAAATAAAAACATTTTTTCCTTCATGAAGAAATTTAAAGCATTCTATTTTTAAGTCTAAGTGGGCATTATATGGAATTTTGATTGTCTTTTCCAATCCTTTTCTCTACCCCCACAACACTAACTTTTCTAAGTCCTTGATATAAAACAGTTAAGTCCCTTTGAAAACTCATTCATTTCTAAAATTCCTAAATTGTAACCTGATTGACATGAGAAAATTCATTCTTTATGAAGAATCATTACCCAAATAGATAAGAAGACCATCTGCCCTGAATGTTTCTAATTTTCCTCTATGTTTGTATTGATGATTCTGTTACTCATCCATTCATTTAACAGCATTTATGTGCTAATATTGCACCTAGAATTATAAAAGCAAAGCATTTCAATATATATCCAAATAGAGAAAATAATAATCTTCTTTAAAGCTTAAAATTTAGTTTAAGAAACAACATACACATCAAATATTTAGAATATAATTTTTTGCAAAATGAGTATTTTAAAGAAAATCAAAATAAACTACTACTCTGGGATATGTTAACCTGACAAGCATTAATGGGGAGAATGAATCCTGAGTTGGGCCTCAGAAAAATACAGAATTTGGAGTAAAGAGAATTTTCAACCATTATTAGTCACTGCCTAATCTCTTCCCTCTTCTCTAATTCTGCTTAAATGGCAAAGCTTTAGCATTCACAAATTCCTGTGATTTTCATAACTCCTTAGCCATTCCTAAAATTAATAACCTAGTATAGGCTTTCTTTTGGTATTGCCTTTAAATTCTTCAGCAAAGAGCAGACAAACATTGCATATCTGTTGAACTGAAATGATCTGAACCTATGAATGTCTATAATCCTAGAAAAGGTCTTAAATTATCTTCCTCTGCCACTCTATATTTGCTTTCTTTCCCATAACTTCTGTGGTCAAAAATGAAAACATCACATTGAAATGTTTTATAATACTATTCCTTTCTATTCAGAAGATTTTCTCTATATCTCTTCATTTTAATGCCAAGCAATTTTCTCTTTAAATTAGGAATTTAAGAGTAATGCAAAGTTGATTCTTTGCATATTCACTATCAATTTACCAGTTTTTGTATATATTTCCAAACCCTTCCAAACTTGCTTTTGGTTGTAGGCTTTTTGTTTGTTTTAAAGTGAGGGTACAAATCTTTCCAGCAAAACGTACAGTGTTTTAAAAGCGAAGTACCACAGTTGCTTCTTAAAATTTTACTTGTCATTGCTTAAAATCTCATAAACAGTAAACGTTACAACCTTCTGTAAGAAAGGTTAAATGGACTTGCCCTTATGTCACCAATAAATAAATGATCAAAGTAATAGAGCTAAGTACTTGGGCATTCTCACACTTAACACAATACCTTATGCAGACAGAAACTTTATATTGTTTAACTGAATTAAATTCTTATGCCACAATTCCCTCTTTAATATGTTTATCTTAAAAGACAAAGTACAGATCCTGCTGGGCTGAAATATTTGGATGAAACTAAAATTTTATTAATAACTATTAATAAATACACTAAGTGCTCAGTTAATGCAAAAAGATATATTAGGAAAACTTCAAATAATATTATATTATATGTAAACAAATTAGTTTGACATTATTAAAATTAAATAATTAAAAATCTATATATTATGATTACTCACGCTCATGCCCATGCCCCAGGGAAAGTGGCTTAAAAGTATACGTGTACTACAAACAGAAGGCAATAAGCTAATATGTGAAAGAAGACATTTACAAAGGCAAATGGTGATATTTGGTATTACTTAGCCAACAAACTAAAGAAAATAACAAAATAAAACAACACCAGAAAACAAAAAAGCCCCAAATTATCCAGGTTAATTATGTTAACTATTTGGCCGATATCAACTCAAATTTCATTATAATAAAACACACGAGGGCAAACCAAAATATTTTTCTCATCAGAAATATATTTATGCATAAAGTCCAACTAACTTATTCTAACATATGCTTTCTGAATGTTTATGAACCAAGTCAGTGAACAGTTATTTTTTTTTTAGGAAAGAAGATGTTATGACATCAGAGGTTTCATGTACGTAAAAGTGGCATTATTAGTAAAGCAACCCTGGAAAATATAACTATCTCAAAACAGGAAACAAAACAACTTGCCAACAATGAATATTTTGAAAGACTTCATTCTGTCAAGAATGTCTAGGTACTCTACTTTGGTAGAGAAATACTTCCCTCTATTTTTCAATAATACAATGCTAACAACATTTCTCTCACAGTAAGTTCTTAAGAAAAAAAAACTGTCACATAGAAAAGACATTAATTAAATATTTATTATATTTAAACCAGAGTGCATCCAAGGCAGAGTTTTCAGCATATATCATTTCATATACATGGTGAAAATACTTTAACGTAAAGAAAAGACTGTTACTGTGAGTTGCTTGTGTAATCATTATATAGTCATAATTTCCCTGAGAATGAAATTGTTTCTGAAGTTGTACTGTCAGTTGTGGCAACTGTTGGAAGGTGTAGGCCTGTGGGGTTCAGGCTGGTCCAGGGTTTCTATGTTACTGTGGGGCTGATAAACCCGAAGTAACACTCTTTATTGGAAAAATAGAACAAAGGCAAACTGACTTCCTGTGGAATGTCAGAACAGGACATTATCTAAGACTGATTTACCTCATAAAGTAGTGTTTCCCAAACTACGTTATGTGGAACATAGATCCGGATGGAGGGTGGGGTGTAGATGCATGAACAGGGTTGCATGTTAAGTAAATTTTGGTAGTTCCCAGCGTTTTTAATATCCTCAAATACATCATGAAGTTCCAAATTTAAATCTGTTTACTGAACAATTTTTCAGAGAACCATTATGGAATAATGTAGTGTCAAACACTTTTTAGGAACTGCTTTGGAGAAAGTGAATGCTTTTTTGGGTAAAATCCTGTAGGGAAATCTTATTGTACCTATATTAATTTAACCCCTAGAACTGAACTGGAACTTGAAGAACCTTAAGAGTCTGCATCATGAATGAATGAACGCATAAATGAACAGTGTGAGTGTAGGTATATTAACTTCCTGCACATAGATAATGGTAAACAGAAACACTAGGAAAACATTAGCACCAGCATTTTACTTCCTTTTAATTCTTGAGCATTCATAATTCTAATTTTGTTAACTGGCAAAGTACATTACATTTATAATAGAAGCAATGGTAAACCTCCCCCTCCCCTCAATAAAAGCCTTAGAATTTGTTGTTCATATCCTTTGTTAAGTATTACCACATATTAAAAAATCTCAAAGTTCTTCAGTCTTCTGCAACCTAAAATGCTCTTTAAAAAAATGTAGGTGCTATGTACCTCCTAGTGCCTGAGTTGTCCAGCATGTTTCTGCTGAAATAATGCTATTCAGGACTTTTAGGGGTCAGATAATATTATCGAAATAATTTGTGGAAAAACCTTCTTCTGGCCTAAAAGGAATTAGTCACCAAAGTTCTGAACTCCATTATTTTATCTAAGCTTATCAAAGGATTCTGAACTTTCTGCAATGAAGTAGCTGTAAGAGTAAGTGGCAAAAGTAATTCTTTTTACTTGTTTATATAAATTGATGTTGATGCTTCCTTTGATTTTATGCTGGTTCCTTCCCTCTTGGTAAAAACGCGTTAAAATGCTGATGCCTCCCACCAAATTCTGTAAAACTTATTAAAAACAGCTATAGTTGCCCTAAAAAAAATGATTTCTTGAACAAAAATAGTGCTTAACTCAAGCAAAGTTGGAGAGTTTGATAGTTTATACAGAGTCAGCAAACTTTTCTGTAAGAGGTCAGATAGTAAATATTTTATGGGCTATATGGTCTTGGATACAACTATATCCTCAACTCTGCTGTAGTAGTCTGAAAGCATCTACATAAATGGGCATAGCTGTTTTCCAAACAAAACTTTCTTTATGGACACTGGAATTTGAATTTCAGATAATTTTCACATCATAGAATATTGGGTTGGCCAAAAAGTTCGTTCGGGTTTTTCTGTAACATCTTGCAGAAAAACCCGAATGAACTTTTTGGCCAACCCAGTACTATCCTTCTAAGTTTTTCATCTATTTAAAAATGTAAAAGTCATTCATGCTCACATGACTGTGGGCTGTACAAAAACAGGCAGCACACTGGATTTGGCCTGTGGCCTGTAGTTTTCCAAACTCTGGTTTATACTGTTAGGTTGCCTCAGTATTAGGCCTAAGATTTAAGAGAGATAACCTGGATTTGAAACTTAGTTGCTTACCTATTAACTATGTTATCTTTATCTTGGTCAAGTTATACAATCTTTTAAGCTTCCATTTTCTTAGTTTACAATGGAGATGATAATTCCTATTTCAAATGTTTTTGGAAAGCCTAAATATCTTGTATTCTAAACAGTTTGTACAGTGCTTGGAACATAATAAATACAAATAAATGCTCATTGCTATTGTTCAAACACTAGTGCTACTACTGGGGGACCCATAACAAATCACTCTATTTACCAGATTCACGGTTTCTTCCTCAGCAAAACAGAGAGAAAAACTACTCTACCATACTCAGAGGACTGCAATGAAAGGTAAGTGTGATTGTATTTCACCCTATGCCAATCCTCAATTCTCTCAGTGCTAGACTGCTTTTCTAAAACTACAGATCTGATCTTACAACACACGTGTTCTAAGCTCTCAATGGCTTTCTATGATCATAAGATAGTCTAAACTCCTTGGCATGGCTCCATGGCTTGTCGTACTTGGTCTTAGTCTTCCTTTCTGACCGCATCCCCTACCACTCTCCATTTGAACCATTCCAGTACATTCCAGATATACTATACTTTCAGTTCCCCAAATAACCTAAATTCTTTTCGTATCTCCATGCATTTAAATATACTTCCCCCTCTATATGGAATGCCTTGCCCCTACCATTTTTGAATTTGTCCTTGAACTTTTCTTACTTCTACTGTGACTACAGTCCTGAGAAGCTGCTTCCTCTCCCTGTGAGGTCATCTGACTTTCCCTCATCTGCTTATACAAGATAGAGCTGAGGTCTCCTTCATTTGCCAAAGCACTTCATGTAAACCTCCATAATTGTACTTCTGTAACTCTGAACTGTAATAGTTTCTTTACCCGTTTGCTCCTCTACTCAACAGAAGACTCTGATGGAAGAGATTTATTTTTGTTATCCCAGGGTTCAGAATATGGTACATAGGAACTTAATTATCTAATGATGATTGAAAGCACTTAGTAAACTATAAAGCACCATATGAAATAAGTTAATTATTATACTATTATAAAAACATTTAAAAGTGTTGGTTGGCATCAGGAAAAATTAGACTTACCGTGTATGACGCCCTGCTAGGTACTTCACAGACACAGGACCTTATTTATTCCTCAACATGGTCCTATACAAACATCATTATCTCCACTTTCAAATGAGGAAACTGGCTCAATGAGGTTAGGTAATTTGCCCCAAATCACCCAGCTCATAAGTTTGGGAGCTGTGAGTGGCATTTAGACTGCTGGACTCCAAAATTTCATGTTCTGAAACATTTAGCAATATACCTCATATTCTCTCCTTCTTAGCTGATCTAGGAGAGGCAGTCAAAGCAGTAAGATTAATGGGAAGAAGAGGATCACTGTAAAGGAAGGAGGGGAAAAAAGAGGTGGGGAAGTATCTTAAACCTTTCCATTACATGGCAGGAAAAAGTGCAGAAGCTTTTGGGGAAATCTCTTTTATAAAAATAATAAATTCATATTATCTTTCAGCCATCTCTTTTATTGGATAAATATTCCAATTCATTTTACCTCTCTTTACATGAGATATTTTTCAAATTAAATTACTTTTAGCTTTCTATTCCTATCCTGATTTTTTAAAGTGTGGTAAATAAAACTGGATAGAAATGATACTCAAAGTAAAATATTGTGGAGGGATAAATTCCAAGTCTTATAATGTTATGTTGCTTTTCATACAACCCAGTTAACAGATTGGCTTCTGTTCATAACCACACTGCATTCCTGATCTGCATTCAGTTTGTGGTCAGTTATGTGGGTACTGCTCTAGGTCACTCTCTTTTGCATTTATGCCTACTCATTCTCCATGCTCTATTTTTATTGCTGGGGTTTCTCCTTAAGTGAATCATTTTATACATGTCCTACCTTTCCCCCCATCAAGGTCATTATATGGCTTTTAAATTTGTTTGCCAGAGAAGTAACACTTCTCATAATTTGGATTCATTTGAATTCATCTCTGTCATCATATACAATTTTATATATTATGGTTATAACCCTCAGCAAATTTTAGCCTTAACTTTTTTTTTGCTGTATGCGGGCCTCTCACAGCTGTGGCCTCTCCCGCTGCGGAGCACAGGCTCCGGACGCGCAGCCTCAGCGGCCATGGCTCACGGGCCCAGCCGCTCCGCGGCATGTGGGATCCTCCCGGACCGGGGCATGAACCTGTGTCCTCTGCATCGGCAGGCGGACCCCCAACCACTGCGCCACCAGGGAAGCCCTAGCCTTAACTTTTGTATAGAACTTTCGATCTGGTCCACACACCTAATGTGTGTAATCCATAAGTTACCAACTTTTTGACATACAAATTTCTTACATGAATCAATAGCCAGAGAGAAATAAAATAAAGATGATTTCAACTTCTCCCTTCTCTGTCACTCTACTACTAGAGAAAATGAAGCTTATATGGGGGGTGGAAATGGCGAGTTTCACAGAAATGTATGTTCCTTTAGGTCAGAGGATGCTCTTATAGCTCTCTGAGCAATAACTGTTAATTATGGCTTTATTAGTTTTTATTTTAAAATAAATATTGCGATGCTTTGGATTTTTTTATTTTACAAAAAGAATTATAATAATTGGAAAATTCAATGAAGTATTTCACAACTAGAAAACTCATTTTTCTTGTAGTAAGCAGTATATGAAATAGCTTGTTGGTGATTAGATACAGAATCAAAACTTTAAAGTTTATTCACATGTATTCTTACTTACATTTAGTAAAAGTTATGTGTTTCATCTACAACTATGTCTTATTTTAAAGGCGAATATCCCTCAAGTTCCATTGTTGAAAGTTCTTTCAAAAATTGAAGGTTTTGGACTTCCCTGATGGCGCAGTGGTTAAGAATTCACCTGCCAATGCAGGGGACACGGGTTCAAGCCCTGGTCTGGGAAGATTCCACATGCCGTGGAGCAACTAAGTCCGTGCGTCACAACTACTGAGCCTGCGCTCTAGAGCCCATGTGCCACAACTACTGAAGCATGAGCGCCTAGAGCCCATGCCCCACAACAAGAGAAGCCACCACAATGAGAAGACTGTGCACCGCAACAAAGAGTAACCCCCACTCGACACAACTAGAAAAAAGCCCGTGTGCAGCAACGAAGACCCAATGCAGCCAAAAATAAATAAATAAATTTATAAAAAAAAATTGAAGGTTTTAAAAGGGAAAAAGTTAACCGAATAGACCTCTGTCAAGACAGTTTTCTTCATCTGCCAATCAGCAGCATAGTGACATGGTATTAGATGTGTATTAACGTCTTGATGCTTTCGATTTCTGCATGCCAAGCTACAGGGAAGTCATTTAACTTATGTGAACACACATTTCCTCATTTGAAAATAGGAATAATAATATCTACCTTGCAGGGCTACTCAGAAAAGTATGTAAGGTAAAGTATATAAAACATTTAGCACACTGCTGAAAATAATAGGAACACAATATGTGGTAGTTCAGATTACCATTTAAGGCTTTTTTCTTATTAGACTATAACTTATTTAGAAATTAAAAACTATAATGTTATTCTTTCCATAACAAAATAAAGCTTTTAAAATGTCCTGTACATCTTAAAAATTATAAAGGACATAATATTTGGACTGTAAATTTGTTCAAATGCAGGTAAGATTAGAAAGTAAATGAAAAATTCATAAGCCAATTATATCTTATTGAAAAGATAAAATCTAAAAATGAATTGATTAAATTAAAACTTGTTCCTGTTAAAAATGTATTACCTGTGGAATCCAGCCCATAAAACAAGGGAGAACTGATGATACACTAGGAGAATCATGCTGATTTTCAGAAAGTCGATTTCCATCAAAACTGCATCCTTCCAGTAATAAGCCACTGATCTGTCATAGAAACATATAAACCATTAAAATATGTATTAAAGGCTGAAATGGCAGGAGTTACTATAGTATATCTTCAGAAGAAAGGCAACAATTTTCATTGTGACTATTCATTCCAAACAATGTGAAAACAAAGATCATGGTATTTTGTTTGATAATAATGTAGGTGAAGACCTGAACCAATGTTCACTGTGAGCTTCCTTTAGGCTGAATCCTCAATTTTAGCAAGTATTTTGGAAAAAAAGACTTATAAATGTCATTAGTTATACAATTGCATATGTCTTGGCATTAGATTAATGGACATATAACGACAAAAGCCAAAAAGTTACTCTTTTTCCAGGAGGGGGAAAGAAAAGCATACTAGAGAAAAAGAACATGTGCTACCTGCTTGGAATTCCAACATCATTTTCTAAAAAACAGAACAAAATTTGGAAAGGTTAATGAAAAAATTCTTGACATGTCATGCAGAGCTGAAAGAAGAATAAAAAAGGAGAAAGAGTTCATCTCTTATTCTAAATTAAACTTAGTGTAAATTTATAAAGTTATGAAAATAAAAATATAATTATTTTGGTAATATTAGTTTCATATTTCTTTAAAAGTGTTCATTCTTTTCGTTTCTGTAGTGTTAATCTACCCTGAGTTTATCTAAAGGCAACAAACGTAGAGCCTCCATTTGCATTCAGGCTCCCATCTATAGTCTCACAATTTAAACTTGATAGAAAATGTAAACAATCTTATAAATATTGTATAGTACCTTTTAAGTTAACATACTATAGAATTTTAGAGTCAAGGGAACACTTTAAGTTGGAAGTGTTGAAATCATTTTCAGTTATAACTAGAGAATGGTTTAGGGACGAGGAGGTACTAGTAGAGTATGCCTTGACAAACAGTTCTGATTAGCTAAATTTATAATAGGGTTCTTTACCATGAAAAGATAAGCAACTTGTTTGTCAGTGAAAGAGATGGGATTAAAAATAGAATTATTGAATTCCTAAGTTCAATATTCTTTCTACTATACTACTAATGTGATGTTATACAGGCCACTTCAGGGGTGTTGAAGTATTGCCTTGAAGAAATGTAAATTAAAATTTAAAGAGTACTTGCTAATTTCAGTGCTAGAAAATCTCTGCAAGATAATTCTTCTGAGGCTTCTTCTAGAAATTTCATTGAGTTCTGCACTCAACTGGTCTTTACAGAAATTTGTAAATGTAGTCCCCCCACTGATAGTGTCACAACTTGACTATGTAATATGCATATACAGATATAAACTCATCATTTTCCTCTTCTAACCAGGGGGTAGGAGGGATGAGAAATACTATTCTCTGGAGCCTATTTCAGTAATTGGCACTACTGACCATGTAGTTGCTTAATCAGACACCTGGGAGACATTCTTGGTTCCTTCTCCTGAACTTCCCACATGCCATCAACTATCAAGTCCAGCCACTTCCAATAAAATCTTTTAAATCTCTCCTTTTCTCTCTATACCCTCTATCATTCCCCTACTTTGGAATGTAAAGTAAAAAAAATGAAAACATAAGAACTTCAAAAAGTGATACCCTGTTGTTTATATAATAAAATGATAATATATCAAGGATTGGAGTAGTATCAACAAATGGTACCCTTGTTCCATCTGGAATTCTGCATCAATGGAAGGTGAAAAAACAGGTAGGCCCAAAATATTACCTTTATTACTGAAAAAGATAGTTTGGAGGATATAACAGGTCTCCAGGCAAATGGACTTGCTAATATCAACACTAAACACAAGAATTTGGAAGACTTAACTTCTAGTTATGACAGTACTAAGCTAAGGAGCCAGCTGCACCAGGTGCAGAGACTGCCTTGAAGGGGCAGAGCAGAATGTGTACACCCAAAAGAAAAGCATAGGAAGGCACAGTATTCAGCCCTGGGTTTCTGACTCAAACTCACAGTCAGATAAACACCTTTATCTGACACCTTTCCTGGAAAGGAAGGAGTCAGGTAGAAGGCAGAGAGTGTCTAGGAGTATGAACCTTAGTAAATATTCCTCCATGCAGAAAAAAACAATAGGAGCAGGAAATAAGAAATCCCCTCTAACATTATATTTAAAATACTTGGAAAATTGCCTGATATACAGCAAGTGCTCAATAAGTATTAGCTATTACTGTTCATTTAATCTAATCCATATTCAAATTTCTAGACATTTAGAATTGTTTCATATAGTGTATCCATTTAAATAAGGCAAAATAAGGTTTGATTGGAAATTATTTAAATAATTTCAATCAAAAAATTTTTGCTTATATTTGATTTTGCAAAATATTTCCCAAATTTGTCCTAGATAACTGAGTCTATCCATCACTTCATTTATACATCAAACAGCTAGGCGATGTGTTAGAGCATGCTTTCTAATTTGATCAATACTGTACTTCCACTCTCTTTTTCACCTCCTTTAAATGATAAGCCATATTAAAATACTATTTATACTTAACATATATACTTATGGGGCAAACTTCATACTTTTCTATTAAAAGTTTGTTAGAAGTCTATCTTAGTCATTAGTACCTTATTGTGCATGACACATATCCCTTGGATGCAAAGAAATAATTACTGAGATCAGAGCTCATTTGTTTACATTATTTTATTTTATTTTTTCAAGTAGACATTTTTTGAATTCCAGTATTTTCTTTACTTCCACAAGAGAGACATTTGAAAATATTAACTATATCAACACCTGATCGCTCTTTTCTTTTACTTTAATCTTTTTTTTAATTGAAGTATAGTTGATTTACAATATTGTGCTAATTTCAGGTGTACAGTGAAGTAATTCAGTTATACATACATATATACCTATTTCTTTCAGATTCTTTCCCCTTATAGGTTATTACAAAATATTGTAATACAGTATATTACAGTATGTGCTATACAGTATACAGTGCTATACAGTAGGTCCTTGTTGGTCATCTATTTTATGCATAGTAGTGTGTATATGTTAACCCCAAACTCCTAATTTATCCCTCTCTCCCTCTTTCCCCTTTGGTAACCATAGGGGTTATGTCTGTTTACATTATTTTAAAAGAACAGCATTGTCAAGGTTGCTTCTTGACATCTGTACAAATATACTATTTGAGTTGAACGCAAATAATTAAGTGAAAGGCATCTAAATGTGCATCTCTTGCTGTAATACCATTTCCTCTAACTATTCTTGTTTTGCTTATAAATGCATAGCTTTCAATTTAACAGAATAGGAACAGCACAAAATCATTAAAGCAAAAGGAAAAGAATCTGTACTTGGATGTTATTCACACTTGAAACCTCTGATTAAAACATCTGAAACAGAGGGGCAGTTGCAAAAGTAAGAAAATAAAAAAACAAAACAACAATGACAACAAAAACTAAAAAAAAAACCCTCACACATATTTCGTTCTGTTTATAGTTTCAAAACCATTTATTAAGGGCAGTATGTATCAGGCCAACCACAATTGCATAAATATATTTCAAATAACTAACTACCATGACCCCAACCTACTTTGAAAAGGCTATTTTAAGATCAATCTGATTCAATTCTTTGAGGTGAGACTCAAAAGGGGTAACAGTAATAGTAGTGACTTTGCTCACTAAAAACAGGATTAAAGCCATTAATTTATTTCATATACAATGTTGAATTCCTTGAATACTTCTTATTTTAACTTGAATTTAACTTGGATTTAACGGTGAATTAAATGTTTCCTTTGCACAGCAAAGGAAACCATCACATAATGAAAAGATATGCTACAGAATGAGAGAAAATATTTGCAAACAATGTACCAACAAGGGGTTAATATACAAAATATACAAAGAGCTCACACAACACAATATTGAAAAAACAAACTACCCAGTCAAAAAATGGGCAGAAGACTTAAACAGACATTTCTCCAAAGACGACTTTCAGATGGCCAACAGGCACATGAAAAGATACTCAATATCACTAATTTTAGAGAAATGTAAGTCAAAACTATAATGAGGTATCACCTCACACCTGTCAGAATGGGTATCATCAAAAAGTCTACAAATAATAAATGCTGGAGAGGTTGTGGAGAAAAGGGAACCCTCATACTGTTGGTGGGAATGTAAATTGGTGCAGCCACTGTGAAGAATGGGAGATTCCTTAAAAACTAAATATAAAGTTACCATATGATCCAGCAATCTCACTCCTGGGCATATATATGAAAAAGATGAAAACTCTAATTTGAAAAGATACATGCACCCCAATGTTCATCACAGAACTATATAGTCAAGATATGGAAACAACCCAAGTGCCCATCAACAGACAACTGACTTAAGAAGATGTGGTATACATATACAATGGGATATTACTCAGCCATAAAAAGAATGAAATACTGTGATTTGCAGCAAGATGGATGGTCCTAAAGAATATACTAAATGAAATAAGTCAGACAGAAAAGCAAATATTATGATATCACATATATGGAATCTAAAAAATAATACAAATGAATCTGTATACAAAACAAACACTCACAGACACAGAAAACAAACTTATGCCTAAATGAACATCTCTCCAAAGAAGACATACAGATGGCCAAGAGGCACATGAAAGGCTCTAATTAGCATCACTAATTAGAGAAATGCAAATCAAAACTACAATGAGGTATCACCTCACACCAGTTAGAATGGACATCATCAGAAAGTCTACAAATAACAAATGCTGGAGAGCATGTGGAGAAAAGGGAACCCCCTTGCACTGTTGGAGGGAATGTAAATTTATACAGCCACTATGGAGAACTGTATGGAGGTTCCTTAAAAAAGTAGAAATAGAATTACCATATGACCCAGCAATCCCACTACTGGGCATATACCCAGAGAAAATCATAATTCAAAAAGATACATGCACCCCAATGTTCATTGCAGCACTATTTACAATAGCCAGGTCATGGAAGTAACCTAAATGCCCATCAACAGACAAATGGATAAATAAGATGCGGTACATATATACAATGGAATATTACTCAGCCATAAAAAGGAACGAAATT